AAGCCAGGTTCGTGAACAAAAGACAGTTATACAACAGCGCACAATATGGGCTCTGTTTACAAGGCTGCTGGCCTGGCTGAAATACTCAGGTGTCAATGAAGGTCACCTGTCAACTTAGAGTAGTGCCTAAAGATTACTTGGTGCAGCTATAAATGACCGTTAAATGAAATGATGAATTTTTGAAGGATTTTTGAAGCATCATATCAACATTGAAAAATGCCCCAGCATAAAGTGGTTAACACCTATGGACCTCCAAAGAAAAAATTTAACATTTGAGGATGGCTCAATGGACAGAAGACAGAAATCGGTATCAAATAGGCTCGCATTTGCTTCGCAGCTCTCCAAAACCAACCAAACATGAAAGGTAAGAAAAGCACCCGGTGATATTCTTCCCACGAAGTTGGGCGGGTCATGCCTGGTCAAACCCGGCTGTGGTGCACTCGGAAGTTACGGTCACTGTTAGCGGTAGAGCTCTGGGAGGTATGGTAGCCTGGGGCTATGTGTCATGCTTCACAAAAAGTGGCAACAGCTGCAGGCACTGAACCGCAGCGGGTCGCTAGGTGGGCAATGGCATTGGGGGAACACTCTCTCAATAATGGTGGGTTGCTATATGTCAAAGGTAATACCAGTTCAATCTGGACAGTAATTATGCGGTGCAAACAAGTGGAATTAGACAGAGTAACTACACAAAGGATGCCAAGTCCCGCCCTAGGCTGCCCCGCGAAAAGGGGAATCTCACACATGCTCCAACTGAAGCAGAGATGGGCCGAGGGGATGCTCAAAGCTTGAAGAAGGCCAGTAGGGAGAGACTTGCTCTCACTGAAATAACCCTGTATAATGTGGCATTATTGGACCAGATGGCAAGCCGAGCAGTCAGAAGCAATGGTAAGGCATAAACTGCTTTGAGTCACCTGAGCACTCTCTTAAATGGCAGACTCTGAAGGGAGTAGGGGAGTGTTAGATGGGCCACCGATGCTCAAAGTGCAAAGAAGGCCCGTAATGTGAGAGTTCGCACATAGCTCTGGTCATAGGTGTAGCGAATGCAAGTCGCAAGAAGAACTCGATGCTCGAAGAGTAAACTCACATGCTCAACAGTACAGTAGTGGAGCAAATAAGGTATCGCACGGTCGCACCCCAAATGATGGATAGGGAATAGTAAACCACCACACTCTCCTAATCCCGAAGCTCAAAAGGACCGAAACTACCGTACCACTTTCCTACCGAGCTGAGCGATCCCTAGCTGGCAATGTGAGCAAAATCGAAGCGGGGTGGGAGCAAAATCCTATTTTCAAGATGTGTTTTTGCGTTGGGGAGATGTTAATTCATATAACGGGTTTTGCCCTTACCCAATATATATATTTATAAACACTGTATGCTCAGTGCTTGTCTGAGAGCTTGCAAAAAAAAGTCTACTCGGGTGGGACTCGAACCCATGACCTCCTGCTTACTAGTGCTGATCTACTCCCACCCGAGTAAGCTTGTGAGGTTTTTTTCGCCACCCCTAGGACAAGTACTGAGCATACAGTGCTTATTAATATATGTTGGGTAAGGGCAAAACCCGTTATATAAATTAACATCTCCCCAATGCAAAAATATATCTTGAAAATAGTTCGTGATACCCGCTGCTTCACTTGACTTGGAACGGCAGCCGAACCAGGCAGGCTCGGTGGTCGAGTGGTTAAGACACATCCCCAACTTGGAATCCAATGCAAAAAAAAAGGGGAAAAAGGAAAAGCAATGCACCCAACAGACATGGGCAAAAAGCTTGTACCTTAAATTCTATATATATATCTTTACACCCACACACACATACATGTATATATACATATACATATACATGTTCCTCTAAATTATTCTGAAATGCAAATACAACTATGCACAAATAGAAGAAGCCGACTGGCAACAAGCGCCTAGAAATGAGGCCCAATGGGATAAACTAGGTGTGCCCCAAGAAGCAGCCTGACAATTCCGACACAAGTTGAATGAAGGGTCAAAATGACCCAAATATCAGCAACAAAGGAACAGTCTCTCCGTTTAGAGGAATGAATAGAAGTAGAATAGAAAGAGTGGAGGGTTGATCAAGAAATAACACCATATAATAAAGGTAGCGAAGCAAACTCTTGACAAATTTCAGAGTAGGACAAGCAAACTCTTGACAAATTTCGGAGTAGGACAAGCACGTCCATATTGTAGTGCCATATAGAAAAGTATTGAGTGAATGAGGGCAAAATGCCGAGTGATTGAGAAGCTAGCAAATGGAGTAACTGACTAGAAAATAATGCACATGTTTTGGTAATCTGCATAGGTTGCAGGCAGTAGACCAGTGAATTTTTGGTGATTCCATGTAGAATGCACATCATGTAACACATGGGCTTTCCTTTTTTGGGAAAAAACCTTTATAAGAACAACGTGTCCTAGTTTCTTGATCAGTGTTGTAGTTGAGACCCTCATGACCAGGCACAATACCATGCATAAAACCAGTCACAAGTAACAGGGTGAACAATAACAAAGGAATGCTTTTGTTGCAGTACATAGAAGGGGCGATTCCAATGAGAAGTGGCTTAAAAACAGGGAATATAGTAAATTTTTAGTTCTACAGATACTGAAAAACCCAAAGTGGTATTAAATTAAAGAGTGAAAAAGGGTTTTCATTTGAAGGTATGCAAATGAGATGTTATGCAGATGTGTATGGTTTGAGAATGTAACAATTTATACTGGGAGAAGGATCTGTGTGGTGAAAATAGAACATTTTGAAAGGTTATCGTTGAGGTTTCATCAAAAGATTTAACAACCAGGCTGAGACAATACTTTAATTTTCTTGTTTAATCTTGTACAAATATTGTGATAAGCATTTTTAGTAAATTAATTATATAAATAAGGATAACTTGGGTATAGGTTTTCTGATGTTTATTCATTTGAGTTGATGACAGCTTGGCGATGGTCATTTTACAAAAAGATCACGGTAGCTTGTGACTAACACCCTTTATCATAAGGGTATAAGCAGAGTTTCTGCCAGCAATGTGAGGAGGCTTTCAAATCAGAGGTATTTAACCCTAATAACTTTTTGAGGGGATCTTGGGCCGAGAATAATAGCTGAAAAGCGGGCTGAGGGATCTCAATTTTTATGGCAGCTCTTACCGCTTCCCGGCGCGAACGAGTTAATGGTGCGTAGCAACAAAACCATGTGTCAGATTGAGTTAAAATTCCATCTCTGTACTTGATAAGGCATGCTTTTATATGCGGGCTTAGTTAAAATTTAAAAAAAAATCGGGCATGGAAAGGCTGAGTTCTTGGAGGAAGCGCAGAATCCCCCTAGCTGTAAGATGATCCAAAATAAGAGGAAATACACGTAGACATTTGAAGAGAAGGTAGGATTCAATGAAATTTTTACCAGTGCAATGGATGGATCAAGATTATGGATATTCATACGGCAAGCATGATCACAATGGTAGCCTTCATCTTGCAGGAATCCCCATTTGTCTGTTGTGAGGGCTGGTTGCGTGGTGTGAGGGTCTAGATAAATAAGTTCATCTCCTGTAAAATTAATAGAGAAAAAAATTAATTGCACTGAAAAATTAACTTATAATACAACCAAAATTGTAGATGCATGATTCGTTACAACAGAAAAACCTTGTCCAACATATTGGCCTTCTTTTTTATCAATGGGCACCGAAGGGCACACATATCTGATGACCTTACAAGGAAATTATGTCAGTGGTGGTATTCTCACATTTATTGGACAGCTGTGGATGGTCAATCACAAACCTTGTAGAGCAAAAAGTCCTGCAATCTAATTGAATAATGTAGCTTTATACGTGTATACTCTACAACATGGCTACATTTTCAAGATGTATGCTCAGTGCTTGTCCGAGAGCTTGCGAAAAAAGTCACAAGCTTAGTCGGGTGGGACTCAAACCCAAGACTGCTTACTAGTGCAGACGTCTTAACCACTCGACCACCGAGCTTGACCACCCGAGTAAGCTTGTGACTTTTTTCGCAAGCTCTCGGACAAGCACTGAGCATACAGTGTTTATTAATATATACGTTGGGTAAGGGCAAAAACCTGTTACATAAATTAAGATTTCCCCAACGCAAAAATACATCTTAAAAATAGTTCGCGGTACCCACTGCTTCACTAGACTCGGACCAGCCAGCCGACCCCGGCAAGCTCGGTGGTTAAGACATCTGCACTAGTAAGCAGGAGGTCATGGGTTCGAGTCCCAGCCGAGTAAGCTTGTGACTTTTTTCGCAAGCTCTCGGACAAGCACTGAGCGTACAGTGTTTATTAATATAGTATATGTTGTGTAAAGGCAAAACCTGTTATATAAACATGGCTGCAGTCAACTTTGGCAAAATGCCAACATTCTATCAAAAATGCCTGACCACAATGTGTAAGAAAAGTAACATCAAATAATGTCGGCTGGAACAAAATAAGAAAATGGTGGCTTAATGCCAGTTGGACGTCTGAGAACTAATAAACAGTCACCTTGTCACGTTGACATCATCTAACTGTTTGAGGATAATCTCGTCAACCTAACACTGACTCAACGTTGACTTGATATTGGCATCCGGTGCAGAAATGTCATCAGAGAGACATCAGATTCCTCCCCCCCATTCATGTGGGCCGAGTCCGCTAGAGAATACCTTCCCAAACAGTCAATACAATATGCAAATTTCCAAATGCTCATCTTGTTATTCATTATAAAGACTTTATCATCCAATAACAGGGGTGCATGGGAAATGCACTGACTGCTTGGGTAGGTTGAACAAAGTGGACACTGACATTTTTTCAGTGTTTGCTTGGATATCGCTTTAAGTTATAACGTTAATCCAACACTGCTCTGCTGTTAGAGGAAGGACACAGTCTTCCTTCAAGAGAACAGGTTGATAGAGATCTTACCATCTTCTTGCCAGGAAAAGCACCACATCAGACTAGGGAACACAAAGAAAGATTTGTGGTCAGGGATAGCCTAGTGGGATCCACCATCCCACCAATAGGAGCAAAGCGAATCTCATCTCTCCATTTCCGCCCTTCACTGGGATTAGTCAGTCTAATCAGTGCTTATGCACCAACATTGACTTCCTCGACAGAAGTCAAGGACAAATTCTAGGCTAACCTCGGCTCATCCACTGATAGCATTCCAGAAAGAGAGCCACTTTCATCCTTTGTGATTCATTGCAAGGGGGAGGCTGATCAAAACTCCTCGTGGACCTATTTGGGTAAGATCGGCACTTGGTAAAATTAACAAAAATAGACAATGCCTGCCAGAGCTCTGCTGCCATCATGGTCCCCAAATCAGTAACACTTTCTTCAGTACAAAGCTTCATTACGGAGTCTCTTGGTGACAACCTCAATCCAAGCACTGGCATCAGCTTACTTTATAACTATACTTAACAGACACCCCAATCTATTCTATGTCCGGTTCCACTCACCAACCAAAGTGCTGAATGCAACACAGATCACTCCTTGGTGTGTAGCAAGGTGAAATTGCAAGATGTTACATCACAAAAGGAGGGCCAGCAGACAACGCACTGACATTAGGATGGCACGGGGCAAGGAAAAGGCAAAGGAATTTGATCATACGTCAAATCTCTTCAGAAGGCCCTGGTAATGCAAAACCCTGTGAAAGATGAGAGCACTTCAGAAAAACTGAATTACCTCAATCTTAATGATGTCATAATTCTACCAAAATTTTGGGTGGCGACATTTTGGGAGTCAAAAAATTTAGCGACAAGTTCATCTGCACTTTGCTGTATGTAGTGTACATGTACGTGTACACGGAAATGGTTGAACTAAAAAAATTTTTTTTTTAACATTTATAATGAAGTAGAGGGGTCTGTATCAAAACTGGTAATTGTCATTCTGTTAAGCATGGCAGAAGGTGTACCAACCAACAGTTCTGGTCTTCATTTGTTGGAAAATGTTGATAAACTTTTGCCGACAAGTTGAGAAGCATTGGAACATGCTGTCCATATCTGATCCCAGCATCGAGTTGTACGCCATTGTTGAAATGTTACTCAAGTTGGCATTTTCAGACATCTACATGTATCTTATTAATTTCTTTTCATCATATAGGGGCAAGCCATGAAGGCTTACAAAAGCCTTGATGCCTACAAAAATTTAATATTGGGGAAAGTCAACAATAATCTTGTGTGGAATCAGCCAATGAAGCGAGGTTGGACAACAACCGTTTCTGTGATTTTTTTCAAAGGTAAGTCTCATTTTGTGTTTGGCATTTAACTTTATCTTGATGGGTCTCATATAAATACATAAAGCAAGCTGGTGAGTGTTGAGTGATGGTACTATCATGACTGTGTACATATTGTGTTGTGACAATTCAGTTTATTTCAACAGTCATGACACTTCTTACAAAATGAAATTTTCTGTGTTTTGAATACATCTATTCTCAGTATTTAGATATATGTTAAATGAGTTTATGAATGACTCATGTGCACTTTGCTCTTAGGCAACAATTTGCCTCCATCATGCCAACTTGTTCCCTGTATGCACGGGGCTGGTCTGTTAAATCTTCCTAAAATGGTGGTCACAATGTCAATATATTCCAAGGCTAATTTCACTATCACCCCTTTTAACTTTTCAGATACACTATGCAGAGACTCAGTGATCCTCCTGTGTGTGTATGGGTGGCTATCCAAGAGGATGGAGTTGTTATTACTGAGGTAGGAGTTACTGAGGTATGCTCTCATGTAGCAGCAACTTGGTTTGCTGTGTCAAAAAGCATGGAAATGAAAACATCTAGTTGCACATCCAAATTGTGTGAGCGGATGAAGCCAGCAAAAAGACCCAGTGGTGACTGCATGTATGCTGAAGCAAGTAACAAACTTCTGCAAGCCCCAAAGCAGGATTGAATATAACCACCTCTGCAGCAGTACAAAAGAATTCTAGCAAAGCCATACCACCACCAACGAAAGATGACACTGACAAGTTTTTTGAACGGCTGAAAGGGACAGGTGTACCATCGGCAATACTGTCTCTAGTGCCTGCATATGCTGAGCCATTAACAAAGCTCTACTCAGCCCAAAACCTAAAGTTGTCATACCCAGAGCTTCTTGCCAAATGTGAAGCTACATACTGCAATATGACAATGAATGTACATGTAGATATGGTAAGTTGTTTTACCTGCTTCACTGGTTTGAGCACAATTTAGTGTGGCCACATCCAAATGACTTGGCCATGGCTTATTACTGAATTACACATGACTCTATGGGAACTTGCCATAGCCACTACCAAAGACTCCTGTGTAATTTGAGACTGCAGCCAAGTAATTCAGACATGGCCTACTACACAAAGTTGAGGTTGCACCTTGTCACAATATAAAGTATAGGTTTAGGTAAAGTGTCATAATAGATGTATGAATTTTTTTCAAACCTTATAAAATCTTTTAATTTTCAGTGCAACATAATTGAAGAGCTACACCCATCAGCAAGCCATGTATCTCTACCGAGCAGGCCGAATTACCGCATCGAAGTTCAAATCTGTAGTGTGCACAGACCCTGCCATGTCATCCACATACCTGATTAGATCAATCTGCTATCCAGCTGAATACAACTTCACAACAGGTGCAACTTGGTTAAGTTTCAGCTTGTGTAAATTAGTCAGCTTGAGTAATCATTCATGATGTAAGTTTGGTACTGTAGATAGTACCGTGCAGGTGCATTATTTCTTTAAAGATGAGGGAAGGACGGATTGTCTCAGTGACTGAATGCCAAAAAGCTATACTGCCTCTCCTACTATCACTGTACATGTAAACTTCAAAATGACCAACAGTATCCAACCTGGGTAGGACCAAGGGAGGGCACATTTGTCCTAGCACTGATGTCTCCTTAGTTAAAACATTTCACAGGTTCACAAATGCTCAAGAAATCCATGCATCATAGACACATTGCTGCCAACCAGATGGCGCTCTGTTGAACAACCTGTCATTTGTTTGTTCAGCAATGAAAGGGTGCATATAATCTGCTCAAGGCGAATACATGTACTCAACAGCTGATGGATCTCATGGCTATGATATGATTAATGTCAACATCAATTTGAATTGCTTTCTCAGTTAGGGATGTCAGCTTGAAAAAGATGCAGTTGAAAGCTACTCAAAGAGTCAGTCATCAAGCCAAGATGGTCTCCACATTAAAGTTGCTGGCTGGATTGAATAACAGCTGGACTGCTGTGTAAGAGCATGCAAAAGTGTGCGTCCGCGCGCAACTAAATAACAATGAATTTCTTTGTTTTGCTTTTGAATCATTCCGTTGTATCCGATTAACGGATAACGGAAAAAGATGCAGTTG